CCCCGCGTTCCGCCCGGCGGGGTCCCGCGGTCGGCAGGGGCTCTCGTTGCTTTAACCCTCCGGTTGGGGCGAGAAAGCTAAAATGTGGAGTTGGCCCGAAAGGAAATGCAGAATGAAGTGGAAACAGGGTAGGATGAGACTTGGTCCCGGGTGTAGGTGGGGTGCTGTAGTCTGGACTGTGTTTATTTTGATGCTCAGCTGGAGTGTATGATCCACTCTGCCTGTGTCGTAAACTGTGCCACAAGGAAAAGGAGTGGGATGCTGATTGTTGCTTTCCTCTGTTGTAAACAGCTTCTGCATTTTCTACAAGAGTTCTCGCAGCAAACCATTTCCAGGACTCATGAAATCAAAAAGCAAGTAGATGGATTGATTAGTGAAACAAAAGCCACAGACTGTCGCCTTCATAATGTCTTCAATGACTTTCTTATGTTGTCCAATACACAGTTCATAGAGAATGTGAGTATGTCCTTGTGTGGCATCAGGCTTGTACTTCAAACATTGGTGTTGTCCCTTACTGTAATGTGGAAAAGTTGATTTGACTTTTTGTGAAGTCTGATGTTAATTTGTAGATGAAGTGGCTTTGAATTGCTTTCTGTTAAATGATGTCCAAATTCCTTTATTAGTGTTTTACTATCCAATATTGGCAAATTCCCTTTTGCCTCTTCTGAGGTACTTTCTGTCCTTGTTTATACGTGACATGGAGATCAGAGTTTCATCTTTAGGACAATGAGTGAGTTGGGGTCTCTGGGATGTCTTGGTATATATCTTTACAGGTAGCATGAATGCAGCATTTGGCTGTCTAAATATGAGGAATGTTATATGATGCTGTGAATTTGCCCAGTATTACCTTATGCTAAAAGCAGTTTGGGGGCAATTGTCTGTTACGTTTGGTCATGATGAGTATATTTGTTGATTAATGTTCCTACTCTATTAATATTGTGATTTTAGAAAGGTAAAAGCTAGACCTGAAAGCCTGTTACAACATTGTATCACTAGGAGCATGTGTATAATTAAGATGTAGAGCTTTAACAGTCTTTCAGACTTGCGGAGGGGTTTTTAGCGCTGTGAGTTTTATTGGATATTTTGTTTCTATCAGCATTGTTCTCAGGCCACGTGTGTCTTATCTGAAGCCATGATGCTATTATTGGAAAAATGCTGGCAGAGGACAAGATGATGGAAGTCTTTATTTCTGTTGTGGGTTTTTGTGGTGGTGGTTGGTTTTTTCAGAGCTGCAATGTTTTTTCTGGCATGCCTTTGCTGTTCACCATAAGGATTCTGCTGAGAACAGTTTGTACCAAATGTCTTAAATCTTGGTTGCTTGAAGCTGTTTGTTCCCAAATGTAAGTGCACAGAAATCCGTCCTCATTTCTAGTTCTCAATTTAGTTAATGTGAGAGATCTCTCTCTTTCCAAGGGGATAGCTGCACCTGTGTTTGAGAGGTTTGTATTTAGGTTTGCAGGTTGAAGGGAGACTTTTTATTCCCCTATGTCTCCTTGTAACTGATCCTACAAAAGAGTGCTGAAAGAGCTGGATGGGAGGGATCGTCAGAACAAACTTAAGGCTGAGGGAGGTTGTGAACACTCTCTGTAAGTACAGAAGGGTATACCCTAAAGAAGGAAAGCTACTAAATGACAGAAAACAAAAGGAAAACAGACAGCCTATAAGCCTGAACTGGGGTTTGACTTTGAAGGTTTCTAGAATAGCTTTATGTTAGGGGGGTAAAACAGTGCTGGTTTAACATATTCAGGTCAATCTGTGAACAGGTTTAAGTGGTCAGCTTGTCTTCTACTACTGCTCTGACATTTGCCATCTTTAATTACCTCAGATGGGTTGAGAGGCTGGCCTGATCATAACTTCAGGATGATTACTTCAGTGTGTGAAGAAGGCTATGAAGATGCTTGGCGTCATCCATGGCTTCTTTTTTAAATGTGTAATGAATTAATCTGTAATTAGTTACACATTAACGGTATATTTTATTTTGTTGGTGGTGCCCATGGTTTAGCCCCTGCAGCAGTATGTTGTCCTTACTTGAATTAATTTTGCTTTTTAGAGAGTATATGATGAAGAAGTGGAAGAGCCTATTCCCAAAGCCGATGTTGGAGACAAAACAGAGCAGGTAGTTAACTTAAGCTGCCTTGAGTGCTGGCAGTATGTTTGCAGCTGTTGTCTGCCTTCTCATTTTCAAACTTTTTTTGTGAAAGTTTACAGCTTACAAACAATTTCCTTTCTCGTTGAAGTCTCTCTGTTGGATATTGTATGTCATTTAAACACAGAGTTGACAGTAACATTGGAGGCTACTACAGTGTGTGTTAATCTGTTAGGGCCTCTCTGAGCTCATAGTGTGTCCAGTAGACAAGACTTATGTGTCGATTTTCAAATGAGTGTGCATGTTTTTTCAGCAAGAGAAGTGAGGTCTTGGGCTTTCTTACTGGATTCAGAGGTAGTGAATTAAGGAAGCAGAATCTGACTGCAGTTCCCTGGGATAAAAATTCAGAGACCTTTCTATATATCTTACAGCTTAAGTGTATTACACTGTAAGTGTTCCCATGATGGGCTGGGAGCAGAAATAAGATAGTACTGTGCTGGTGTGGATGTTTACAACATCTCTGTTTCTGAGAGCGATAAAGATTAATTAAATCAAGCAAAAAGTTTCTGAAGGTCTTTCTCGTACGTATAGTGAAAAAACTTTCATTGTACTAATTTGAAGTTAAAATTTTGCATGCACGTTGCAGTGAGATTGAGTCTTGAATAAAATGTGAATGTGTTGTTCCTGTTACTGAAGGAAAAGACACGGGAACAGAAAGAAGCTGATCTGATCCCCAAAATCCAAGAAGCGGTGAATTATGGGTTGCAAGTTCTGGACAGTGCTTTTGAACAGCTAGACATCAAAGCAGGCAACTCTGACTCAGAAGAGGAAGAAAGTAATGAAAGGGTGGAACTGATACTTGAGCCAAAGGTACAGAGACCTGTTCTTGCTGAGAGCATGCCCTTGTGTTTGGATTTGTTGGTCTTGCTCTTTTCTTCTGTCAGCAGTGTTACTGCATTGGTATAAAATTGATATTCATTACCTACAAAGAGGATTTGATTGCTACCTCTGAAGAAGTGCTCCTTGCTAAGCTGTTCCTTGTGTAGCCTGCTTGTCTTGCAGTTGAGTTAGCATTAATGTATGGCACGCTAAAGGGGGTTAGTTTTATGGCAGTGAACTTACAAAAGGGAAGCCTCAGCTCTGGGTGGAGTGGGACCTTTAATTTTCATGCTTTTTAGGTACAAACCATATCTTCCTAGGTGTTTTCTGCTCCCCCGGTAATTAAGAACCCTAGGTGCAGATTTCGGATAAGACTGATGCCTCCGAGCCTTTGCAAGGATATTCTGTTTGATAACACCTAGAAAACAAGCTGGGACCACAGAAATAGAAGTAACCCCCTTCTTTGACAATGTTGAAAGGAATAAACCTCTGCTGATCCACCCAGCTGCCTGCTGACTTGAAGCATGTGTCTGGTGGGACTCTCTTTAAACAAGCTGGTGTCTTCCTTGAGTTAAAACAAGGAGTTTAAGACTGCTGTCTTCATCAGCAATGTAGGGCTGTGCCTAGATGTCAGAAAGACCTGATGTTGTCTCTTTCCAGGATCTCTATATTGACAGGCCATTACCTTACTTGATTGGCTCTCGGCAGTTTATGGAACAAGATGATGTTGGCCTTGGAGATCTCTCTAGCGAAGGTATGTGCTGGCGTGACCTTTTATTCCTGTGTGATTAGCTAGTTCCTAATCTGAGACTTTGGTCTCTTTTAACTGGCAGCTTGGGTTATACTGTGTAGTGTGCTTGTATGTTTAGATACGTGCTGTAATTAGCTGTGGAAAAAAATGTGCATCATGCTGTAACAACCATTTTTCTGGCATGCAAAGCAGTAACTACTCAGTAACTTGTGCTCTGTGTATTAGAAACACTGTGGTGGGTTAGCCCTTGGCTCGGGGCCAAGCCACACACACCCGCTCACACAATTCCCACCCCCATCCAGTGATAGGGGAGAGAATAAAAGGGTTAAATGGTAAAGAGGGCTCGTGGGTTGAGATAAGGACAATTCAATAACTAAACTACAAAACCAAACTACAATAATATTAAAACCAATACTATATACAAATATACAAATGAGTGATACACAGTGACACTGCCCCCCCACCCGACGACCAAAGGCCCAGCCCGCTCCGGGCCAGCAATTCCAGAGGAGGGGGAAGAATGAGTGACACACAATGATGCTGCCCCTCCCCACCCCCCAACTCGATGACCAAAGGCTCAGC